ACAGACAGATGATTGTAGTGATGACAGAATCACTGACAATATTAAACCATTACATGACAATACTGCTGAATGTGAGAAGATGGGAGATATTTCAAACAACTGTGTTAACATTGAACAAGGAGACAAATATTCATCATGTAATGTGTGTAATAAAACTGTAAGAGAATGTGAGGTTGACTTACCAGAAGATACTACATCAAAATATTGTGATTGTAAAAATAAGGAAGAAATCAGTACTGTACAAACCAACAATTGTGTAACTAGATCTGAAACTGAAGAAAGTTCTTTAAAACAATATAATGATATACAGCTAACTTCATCATCATGTAATTCTAGGGAGATTAAGTGTGACAATAACAGCTGTAGAAGTGAGGGAAACTTTCAAAAATCTGCTCTAGGACTTGTTTGTGATTATTCTGATACTGATTCCGATTCTTAATATTTGCAACCAAAAACAAAAATAAATTGTATTTCTGGTTATCAAAATATGGCTCCAAAATGTTAACCCTAACATAAAGAAAGTATAAAAGAGAAAAAAAATAAACAAAAACTAGGTATGAAAATGTTCCAAATAAGATAATCCCACCTTACTGTCAATATACTTCTTTCCAAGAAAAGTCATTAAGATCAAATTTATATGGGAAAACTGTAAGCACATCAAATGTTGGAATAGTGTTGTACAGGTATCACATTACACAATATTTACATGGTGTAAAGTTGTCAGTCACAATAACACCTATACAGTTTTATGTTGTATAAGGCATACTCTACTCTCATTCAAACTTTCTGTTTATCCTTTCATGGCTAGTGTAAATTAATGAATTAATGGCATAAAAAGATTGACGTATTTTTTTCACTTCTAAAACTTGTTGAATGCAGCTGACATACCAAGAGTATCCAATAATTGAACCACTATAAATTTACTGATGATAAAATTTATTAAAATATTTCTTAAGATACAGATTTACCCTAAAAAGTAACAAAAAATTATAAAATACAGCATTATATGTTCTTAAGTCTAAGTTCTTTTGCTGAGATATCATGTGCTTGTCCTCAAGATGATGAAGGTTTACAAGCAAAATAACTCTTGTAAGCAAATAAGATGATTGGGATTGAATTACGTCCCTTTCATTAAAATATAAATTATCCTACAAATTAAAAATATTTGAGAAATTCTATAATAGTATTGCCTTTTCAAATATTTGTGTGCAATCAGACGTTTCACCTCAATTTCTTTAATAATATAGTCATTGACTGAAGTTTATTGCTGTATAACAGCTATTGTATTTCCAAATCCCCTTGACAGCATTGTTCTTTTTTTCATCAGCTTGTTCAAAATAGTAAATCTAAACTTAGAAATAACTGTATTTAAAGCTGCGTGCCTTCAGATGAGCCAAAATATTTCAGGAAAATCTTCAGAGAAAGATTTTAAAAAGATTTTAGATCTGTACACAGATTGAAGATTCAAGAAATAATGTACATGTTACGGGTGATTAATGACTGTTTTTGCAGTATTTATCACCATATTTATCCTGTGTGACTAACATAGTAAGGACTTTTTTTGAATATTTTGACCACTTTTTCATTATTTATGTGGTTTGTAAGGGCCCTTTGCAATGTGTAAATTCTTAATTTTCTTTGTTCGCTTCACAATATTTTACTTTTAAATATATTTTTAAATATTTTATGAAAATTAGCATGAATCTGGAGGCATGCTGCTTCAAGATTTTTGTGGATTCTATACATCACATTCCTACAATAGATGTAATAAAATTTCTCTGTGAAATGTATATATATATTATTTACTGTCAGATGATTTCATAAGAGACAGTTTTTGTTTTGTAAAACAATATAATCTACTGTGTATTAATTCCATTGGAACTGAGATGCTGTACAAAATAAAAATGAACTTTATTCCAGGATATTTAATTCCGTGGTAACTCGATATTAAGTATATAATACTATATTTTCCCATTTGCTCTCATCTTTAAGTTAATTATTCTAAAACTGAAATATATGTTATAATATTTCCAGGCAGTATTGTAGTTCGCTACTAGGTTATCAAGATAGTAATGTCTTACATTTATCATTTTAGCATTATGGAAGAAATTTGTAATTTTTTGATACAACAGTCAGAGATTTATAAAACAGAGGGATAAGATCCTCTAAAAATAGAATATTTTCCCATCTAGACATACAATCCTTTGTACGAGATTCATTGGGAGATTCATTGGCGATTGAAGAAAATGATATTTAAAATGATTTTTTAGAAGGAAATAGCTAGCATGTGCTCTTGGGTAAAAGCTTTATGGTTTTTTATGCCACCGCAGCATCTGCGATGCGGTGGCATATAGCGATTCACCTGTGTGTGTGTGTGTTTGTTTGTGTGTGTGTGTGTTATATAGATTATATAGTGAACTTAAAAAATCTTCTTGTGAAAAACCACTAGTCCAATTTCAACCAAACTTGGCAGGATTGATCCTTGGGTGAAGGGCTTCCAAAGTTGTTCAAAGAATTTCATTCCATGCAGAAATCTGGTTGCCATGGCAACCAAAAGGAATTATAAGACTAAATTTAAAAAATCTTCTTGGAAATACCCAAAAGGCCTAGAGCTTAGATATTTTGCATAAGGCATTGTCTGGTAGATCTCTACCAAGATTGTTCAAATTATAGCCCTGGGGTCAAAATCGGCTCCGCCCCGGGGGTCATTAATTTTCACTATATGTAGATATAGTAAAAACTTAAAATACCTTCTTGTAAAGACCCAAAAGGCATAGAGCTTAGATATTTTGCATATGGCATTGTCTGGTAGACCCTTACCAAGATTGTTCAAATTATAGCCCTGGGGTCAAAATTGGCCCCGCCCCGGGGGTCATTGATTTTCACTATATGTACATATAGTAAAAACTTAAAATACCTTCTTGTAAAGACCCAAAAGGCATAGAGCTTAGATATTTTGCATATGGCATTGTCTGGTAGACCCTTACTAAGATTGTTCAAATTATAGCCCTGGGGTTAAAATTGGCCCCGCCCGGGGGGTCATTGATTTTCACTATATGTACATATAGTAAAAACTTAAAATACCTTCTTGTAAAGACCCAAAAGGCCTAGAGCTTAGATATTTTGCATAAGGCATTGTCTGGTAGACCTCTACCCAGATTGTTCAAATAAAGCCCTGGGGTCAAAATTGGCCAGTCCCGGGGGTCATTGGTTTTCCTTATATGTATATAATAAAAACTGATAGTAAAAACTTAAAAACAATTTCTTCTAGCAATTGACAACTGCTAGAGGTTAGATATTTTGCATGAAACATTGTCAAGTGAACTTCTAGCAAGATTGTTCAAATTATAGCCCTGGGGACAAAATTGCCCCTGCCCCGGGGTCATTGATTTTCAATATATTATATACATATAGTAAAAAATCAAAATATCTTATTGTCTGAAGGTTTAGAGCTTTAATATTTGTTAAATGATATCATCTATAGGTACGCTACCAATGTCGTTCAAATTTTGCCTCTAGTGTCAAAATTAGCCCCGCCCCGGGGGCCATAGGTTTTCCATATATGTATATAGTAAAAACTTAAAAAATCATCTTCTCTGAATTGAAAAATCTTCTTCTCTGAATTGACAAAGGCTAGAGGTTAAATATATGGCATGAGACTTTGCAAAGTGAACCTTTACCCAGATTGTTCAAATTATAGCCATGGGGTCATAATTGGTTTCGCCCCGGGTGTCATTGATTTTCATTATGTACATATAGTAAAAATATAAAAAATATTTTTGTCTGAAGGTACAAGGCATAGAGCTTTGATGTTTGCTATATAATATCATCTATAGGTCCTCTACCAAAGTTGTTCAAATTTTTCCCCTAGTGTCAAAATTGGCCCTGCCCGGGGCAGTGATTCTCATTATGTACACATAGTAAAAACAGAAAATAAAACAAATGTTTTCTGAATGGGAGAAAGCTACAGCTTAGATATTTGACTTGAAATGTTGTTTGGTGGACTGTATCAAGATTGTTTTGAATTAAACCCTTGGGTCCAAAGTTTTGCCTTGCCCAATGGGACAGTGACCTACTTTCTTGTCCTTTGATGTACAGCAATGAAATTTTGACCATGTGCACAGTTTTAGTTGTAAAATTGAACTTTGATATCAGGTGACCTAGATTTTGATGATGTGACCTACTTTCTTGTCGTTTGATGTACAGCTATGAAATTTGAACCATGTGCACAGATTAAGATGTAAAGTGAACTTTGATTTCAGCTGACCTAGGTTTTAGTGTCTTACTGTGTTGTCCTTTGATGTAGTCATGAAATTTAGACCTTCACCACCAAATTCACTAGACTCGAGTGCATTGATATATTCCTACACTGATCTTTTATTGAGTTAACAACAGATTTAACCACTAATCTGATAATAAGAATAAGATTAGCCAGGGATCTATGCATTATGACAATCTTCAAAATTGTAAAGAAACAAAAAAAATCTGTTCCTACACTACTATTTAGTGTTGTATTAATGCGGTGGCATAGCATTTTTCTCAAATGCAATCTTGTTTTCTTTACAACATAATTTCATTACATTGTTACATTAATTTCAGCTTGGTAATATTTGATATGTAGAACAATTTTGCATCATTTGTGTGTACACATCGTCCTAAGAATATAATTGGGACCACCAAAGCCACATGTTGCCACCATTCTATTTGCACCTCACAAGTCAACTTTCAATATTGAATTGTTTAATGTGAAGAAGCTTTTAAGATAGCTGGTGGATTTGTCAGGTAAACATGAACACATTTTATAGTAATAATAACAACAGGTGTTGGAGTATATTGGTGTTTATTTCCAAATTTGTGTGCATTTAAAATAAGAACATGAACACTCCTATAACCTTCCTACCATCACAAATCTTTATAAAAATTGATGCTTAACTTCATTACAAAGTCATTAGCACTTTGATGTAGTGTTCACATAGTGTGTCCGAATTCCTTGTTACAATTATAATTTAGTGAAAAACGTTTTTAAAAAGTTGAAAAGACTTGTTGTAGAATGAGTATTATAAATTTGATATACAATCCCTGTTTTAGTTTATATAAAATCATATCACATGGTATATTTCAAATGTGAATGTCTTATCTGTACTTTCACATACTATTATTAATTTCCATATCCAAAATTTGTGCACAAATACTGACGTTATACATCTTTAAACAATCAATATACTAAACTGAAATCATCTTTTTATGTACATGTTCAGAAAATGATAAGAAGAAAAAAATTAAAAATGTATATTTCATTCATCCCTATCCATATGTCATGTCATACTAATAACTAATTATGACAGATTTTCAAAAGAATCCTGCTTTTTTATATACAAAAGTTTCAAACATAGAAATTATTTTTAAGAATCTCAAATGCAAATCTTAACAAAAAGTTTGTTTCATACTGGAACATGATACAAATAGAGACCCATTCCCGCAGCATCATTTTGTTTACTAAATATTTTCTAAACTTGTTTTTTTTAAACTCTGACCTTCCATACACCTACACTTCCTATCATACAAATGTTATAAAACAAATGAACATTGATAAATGACCTGACAAATATAATTATTATTTTATCCCGCTTTTGTAGGGTTGTTTAACCCCTTAATGTAGATTACAAATAATGTATATTATATCAGCAGACAAAAAGTTCAACCCTCTAAATAAAATATGTACCCCTATTAACTAAATACATGTAGCACAATATCACAATGTTCATTTGTATAATACAAAATAACAACACATATATAAATACAAAAGTTTGTCTTCAATGAAGGTTGTTCGTTTCATCTGTCATTAATACAGTGTAAATTACTAAATCGGATACCCGTAGCATTAGCTGTGATGAGTAAGCAATAGAAAGAGAGAGAGAAAAACACAGGCTATCTGATTTGTATGAGGGGGTTTAGCCCTGGAGTACTTATCAGATTGCCGAGTGTTCTGCTGATCTTTCTTTTTTGTAGCGTATGCAAGAATAAAAACATGATCCCTGCCGTCAAAACGTTAAACCCTCCGTTAATGAATGCTATGTGCATGTATTGGTATACAATTTAACTCGGACATGTTTTCAATAGTAAAGTCTCCTAAACTATGATACATTATAGAGAGTTGAAGCACTATTTTTCCTTATCCGCTTCGCTTATGTATATTTCTTCTTTGTTTTAACTAAATGCATTACTGGGTGCATTTTTTTTTTTGGGGGGGGGGGGGTGCAAGATTTTTTTCCATAATTGTGTAATCATCAGTGAAATGTGATGAAAAGCTGTATGTAGCTGATGCAAATTTCATAAAATATTATAATTTGAGCACCTTCTTCTAGTAAAATTATGTTTCACAGCATCATTGGTTTGTGTAGTAGATTTGAATTGATGTAAATAAATTTTTGAGAACAAAAAATGTGCCTCAAGTTCAGAATTTAAAGTTTAGAAAGTCATGAGTATGAAATTGACATACAAAACAAGAAGAGACAATTCGAGGCCCAGTAAATTTTTAGAATATTTAGAAGTAGGTCTAGAATTTATAACTTACACTATACATATATATGTAATAATTCAAAACTAGGACTGGGTCATTAAGTTCAGATATAATCTCTTGTTGGCAATCATGTTTTGACAAACAACCTTCTATGAAGAATAATTCAAACTGCTTCATTTTATACAGCCTCTTTTAGTACATAATATAAACTATATGAGACTTTAGTCTAGTATTATACAACAATATATTCAACAGTAAGGCATAATCATTTAAATCTATCACAAACATGTAGTTTTAGTTTTACAAAATTCTGTCCATTTTAAACAGTTCTTTTTAATTATAGTTGAAGTAAAAAAAGTTATTTTGAAATCTTAAAAGCTATAAACTTTGAATAGTCACATTTTATAATGGATGTTTTAATTATTTGATAATAATATATGTTTTACTTGTTACAACTTCATCAATGTTGCTTAAAATTACAGTTTATAATGTATAAAATGCCCATTATGGCTCAGAAATGCTAACATTTTTATTTCTGAACAACTATTGATTTTTTATCCTGTTGTTACTGTCGTCAATAATATTTTAATATGCCATATATCTGAATTTTCTTTTTTATCTTAAGCTTTGTTGGCAATTGGTAAAATTTTAGTGAATAAATATTTTGGATGGAAGTCAAAATACTACTTTGTTTACATTTTGCTACCTTTAGGACACATTTCTGCAAATTTAGCACTACTTTTTTATATAACATCCAACATGCACTTAATGCATTATTTAAATATTAAAATAAACACATGTTTGACATTTCTAAAACATAATAAGATATGCATGTCTGAGACATAAATTTGCCTTTAAATCAAAATAATTATAAAACACTTCTATAAACATCTAGTACAACAGCAATTGGTATATATACATAACTTTTTAATTTAAGTTTACACCATTAAACTTAAATACATTTGATGATTTTAATGGTAAGTCTACAAGCATTCTCCTAGAAAAAAACAAATTTGAATAAATTTTTAGTCTTGATTATAAATTCTTAACTGTTTTCTGTTGCAATACATTTTGAATTACTATATTATACAGGTATATAAACATAGAGATAACTCTTAAAATGTCAGATCGTTCTATATTACTCTGTTATTGTAGACTATCATTTTAATTGTCACAAATGATCTAAAATGAAAAGCTCTTAACTCTTATTGGGCTACAAATTTATTTAAATATTGATGTAGAATTTAATTTTTAGTATATTGATCATCTTTAGTTTTGTATTGTTCCGTTTTTAGTGCCCTAATTGGTCCATGTAAGATTTTCAAATTTTATGATTTTAGGCTGTTGGACCACAGTAAAGCTCATTTAAGACAATTTTAATGCTTTCAATGCATGAATTTTAAATGATGAGATAGTTTACTCACTCAAAATGTCTAAAATCTTGTCAATGTATAATCTTGTATCAATTTAACATAATATCTTGTCTGCAAATGAGAAAAAAAATATTTAAAAAAGTGTAATCATAAGGAAAAAAGATTTTAATAGATGTATAAATATTTACAATTTAAGTGAAACATTGTATCCCATTTTACAAAGTAGGTTTGAAAAAAAAAACTTTTAACATTGTAATTGTACCCAGTGGATATTCAAATAATGGATGTCCCTGCATATTTCGATATGTTATAGGAAATACTGAAAGATTTCTTAACAATAGCGTATAAATTTAGATTAATATATAATAACAACTGTCATGTAAATTAATATATCATGTAAAGTCCAAATTATAAAATGTACACTGAAATTAATAAAGAATGTTTATTCCTGAAATTTAGCTTTCTAAAACTCAAAAATTCTGATTATGAAAAAGACAGAATTTATATTTAACATGAAGTACATCCCATTTGTTTAATATAAGCGCTCATTCTTTTATTTCCATGTACATTTTCAATAACGATAGCCAGAATTTTGATGGCCGAGTTTTTCTGCACCATGGTGATTTTGATTTTGTTCTCTACGCAGGCGTAAGACGAGGAAAACACACATTGCCATCATACAGAGAAGAAGGACTCCAAGCACAACTGCAATTATCCAGTACATGTCGGGAACTTTACACTCCTTGTCTGTGATAACATCTGAACCTCCTCTGTTCTCACTTCCTCCTAAAATAAAAGTCAAGTTATTTTAATATCACGTACATAAAATGAATTGAAATAACACTTCTGGTTCTGAATTCTGACAGGGACATTTTCTATATAAGTAAGCCATACAGCTATTAAACATTTGTGGTTATTTGCCAGATTGTTCCAGGAGTCATTTAATGCATGGAGGGGCAACTAAGAGTCTTCTTCCGCCACGAAAAGCTGGAAAGTCACATGATATAACCTTTACAGTGTATGTGTGACTACCCAAACAAAACAACAATTAGCAATGATACACATGATGAATATCATATATGTTGTTATATATATAATTGTGTATAATAATTACAACTTGCTTCTTTTTTCCTACTTTTAAGTTAAACATCTTGAGCAAGCAATGTATTCAAAGAAAGATGTAACACAATTATAGACAATGTGGGTATAAAACAAAAAATGTACATAAATATATTACCAAGTGAATTTGTTGCTCCTTCTGTATGAACTTTGATTGGTACACCGAATGACAATGTGCCATTTTTTCCTGTTGTCGGAGTGTTACGTTTCATCCTGAGGTTGTGATTAAACTGTTGATCCATTGTCAACATCGTGCCAGCTGATCGTTTCTTTCTTGTCAAGGCATTATTAGTGCAATATTGCTGTAAGAGTAATCATTATTATAAAACATTTTGACGTATGCCTGTAATTGAAACGAGGCTTGAAATATGGCGGACGTAAATTTTTAAATCGTCAATTTTATGTAAAGAAAGATCTTTAAAGTTTTGGAATAAAATTGTTAATAATCAGCATTCGCCTATATAAAGCATGTATTTAGATCAATGTGTTAATGGAAATAATAAATGCTGGGCTAGGCAAGCTCATACTATTATTAATGAGTTAGGATTTTCATATTTGTTAGATAACTATAATGTTATTTCTGATTTTAGCTTAATTTTTAAACAACGCCTTAGAGATCAATTTATACAAAATTGGCATGAGCAAATAAATAACATGCCAAAATTCTTTTATTTTAGGAATTTCAAATCAAATTTTTGTTTTGAGGAATATCTAAATGTAATACAAAATGACAAGTTAAGAAAACGTTTGACATGTTTCAGACTTGGTTCCCATTCTCTAGAAATTGAAATTGGCAGATATATAGGTTTAAACAGAAATGAGAGAATATGTAAACTTTGTAGTCAAAACATGATAGAATCAGAATATCACTTCCTGCTTTGTTGTCCATTTTATTTAGAAATAAGAAAACTTTTTATTCGTAATGCATCTTTTCCCACACTGAATAAGTTTTATTATATCATGTCATCTAATAATAAATTATTACTGATAAGTAAGTACTTGGACAAAGCTTTTGATTTACGATCTAATACCATGGAACAAATGATAAATAGACGAAATTAATGATATATTATTAACACTACTTTGTTATTTGTTAATTTAAAAAACGATTACTGATATTTGAAATGTTTATATATGTATCTTGTAGTTATGTGTGCTATATTTCAAGATCTATGTATGTATATGTTTTGTATGTATTGCCAAAGGCAAGGATTTGCCGATTTGCAAATAAAATTTGAACTTTGAACTTTGGTGTAACTTATTGTGATTATACATTATTAGTCCTGTATATCTATAACTGTTACAGTTAAAGTGATTATACATTATTTGTGCTGTAAAGTTGAATTGTAATAACTGCTATGGAATAGAAGTATAAAATAAGTACATGGCTGCTGTCAAATTATTAAGTAATATAATATTTTTCTCAACTGAATGTTTTTTCGTTATAGAGACAGGTTATATTTGTCCACATATATAATCCAATCCGATACATACACACATATATGTATGGAATATAGGGCTACAAGGGACTATATAATCTGTCAACAATATTTGTAACAAATTTTCTAAAAGTAGTCTTATATGTATATATTTTAGACCCAAAAGAAATCTCAACCTGTATTTCTCTTTTAGTTCAATGTACGGTATAATCTGCATAGTTTGTATTCATAAGGTAAGTATTAGGAAAAACGGTTTTGTGCTTTACTATGACTGATAAATTATATTTACCTCATGGTCAGCACATTTGACATCATCTACATTCAGACAGGTTGCAGCATAACTAAACCTGACATACATAGTCTTTGGTGCGGGACCATCAAACATTGCTGCTTTAAACAACCCTGTAAACATTTTATACTTTCATATACTTAATGTGACACTTTAGGGCCCAGTTACACAGACGGTCGGTCCCCAATCGGTCATTTAATTTTAAATTTACTCGCTGTTATGATCGGTTGTCATGCGTGATTTTATTTCTGGTTTTCTGTGTAAACGGCCATCGGTGACAGAAAGCAAACTCAAACGGGAATGAGTCGATGATTAAATACTGAAATACTTTTGGTTTTTATCGTTTGTAAATCGGAGCTATATCGGGCGTAACGCTGATTAATCGGTGTTTGATAGCTAGTCATCAGTGGTTAAACACTTTCTGTCAGATATGGCCGGTGATTCATATTTGGTTATCTTTGTCTGATCGGCTATATCGGTGATTAAGAGCTTGCATATCTCGTGATATAGGTTGCCGTCGGTAATTTTTAAAATGTTTTCACCGATCGAGAATTTTAAACGTGTTTAAAAATCCCAATCGGTAATTTTTCACCGATGAAACTTATCTTTCCCCAATAGCAGTTGATAGGTGGAAAACAGGTGACCAATAGGTGATATCGGTGATCAATACGTTGTCATCGGTTCACTCCATAAGGGGCCAGTTACACAGACGGTCGGTCCCAAATCGGTCATTTAATTTTAAATTTACTCGCTGTTATGATCGGTTGTCATGCGTGATTTTTTTCTGGTTTTCTGTGTAAACGGCCATCGGTGACAGAAAGCAAACTCAAACGGGGTTGGGTCGATGATTAAAATGCTGAAATACTATCGGTTTTCATCGTTTGTAAATCGGAGCTAAATCGGGCGTAACGCTGATTAATCGGTGTTTGATAGCTAGTCATCAGTGGTTAAACACTTTCCGTCAGATATGGCCGGTGATTCATATTTGGTTATCTTTGTCCGATCGGCGATATCGGTGATTAAGAGCTTGCATATAGGTTGCTGTCGGTTATTTGTAAAATATTTTCACCGATTGAGAATTTTAAACATGTTTAAAAATCCCAATCGGTAATTTTTCACCGATGAAACTTATCTTTCCCCAATAGCAGTTGATAGGTGGAAAACAGGTGACCAATAGGTGATATCGGTGTTAAATACGTTGTCATCGGTTCACTACATAATTTGGCTAAAAAAACTACCGATCAATCACCGATGGCTCTGTGTAACTGGGGTGTAATTTGGCTAAAAAACTACCGATCAATCACCGATGGCTCTGTGTAACTGGGGTGTTATCTGGTGCATTCATTTCATCTACGAATCAACGAAAATGTTGAAAATGTTGGAGACTACATGCAGCTGACGTTATAGTCATATGAATATTTAGGCAAATAAAATAAATTGATAAGCAATTTGATAGATCTTCTATTCATTGAACGAACGAACATAGAAACAAATAGACAAACAAAATGTGTGTAATATAAAATGTTCTATACTAAACATATTCATTTTTCTGTGACTATATATAGATTTGTTGTACAGTGCAGTGGTACGTTCCAGCCTATATTTAGCATTTTTAGCAGCAAACCTTCATAGTGCAAACCTCCATAGTCATGCTAATTTTCATGGAAATTTTAAAAAAATATTTAAGAGTGAAATATTGTAAAGCGAACAAAGAAAGTTATTTACAAGAGGCACTTACAATCTACGTAAAATACCACAAATGGTCAAAATATGCAAATATAGTCATTACGGCATCAGTCACCCATAAACAACCAGTCATTAATCAAACATAACATGTAAATTATTACTTTTTACTTTTCTTTAATCTTTAGTTTTCTTGAAATAATTTGATTCATCTGGATGCATGTAGCTTTTAACTTAGAAAAAATTCTACACTGAAGGGTAAAAAGTTCTCATGGTTAAAATTATTGTTGTACAAACTATCTTATGTCGGTTAAGTCTTCAAAATAAGCAAGAAATAGAGACATTATGACAAAATTTAATGATTTTATTTATACTTTATACGGCTTACCTGTGTCGAAGATATGGGTGGTACCGGCTGTTGAGTCCCCAGCATTGTATGTAATACCAGCGTCCGTGTCTAGAGCAGCTTGGGCTGTAGTGTTTATACATCTGTCATAATAAACGATTGATTTATATAATTGATCAGATGTGTGTATGCTTCGATTGATGCTTCCACTAGACTATAAATTCTTTATATTAATGTGTATGAATTCTGGGTATTTTCTTTAATATGACATTAAGAGTTTTTATGTTAAAACTTTGTTTTATTTCAGTCATATATTCAAATGAATGTAAAATTTAGGATTTTTAAGCAAAACTTTCACGCACCATGTATGCATCGATTCAAATCAGGAGTACGATTTATAGTACTATTATTCTGTGCTAAAATTCAATGAAGGTGGATTTTCTTTTCTATTGATTTAGATCGTTTTTTATCAAATGTTTCCAAAATGAAACCATATTTCGACAACTGGCTACTTTATACCATAATTAGAGGGCGACGTGCAAAACTGTGCTAGAAAAATTTCATCTGAAAAAGGTGTTTCATTTTATACTTGCATTAATTTAAATGTTGGCCTCTAGTGCATTTTAGGTGCACATTCTAAACAAAAAAAAGAACATGTATCTACATTTCCTCCACAAAATACAGACTAAAGAACAAGAAATGCAGGGTTTTAAATTCAAATTTAATCTTTGAAGAAGAAGAATAAAACATAACAGATAGATATTTCTGAGGCATTTTTCCGTCTGTACACATCTTAAAATCAACGCTTCTACATTGTCCTCTGGAAAAGCGTTAAATGCTAGTCTTAAACTTTCTTTGATTACTAAATTTAGGGTTCTGTCTGGTGCACTTTCGGGTGCACATTAAAAACAGAAAATTTCGGATAAACAAGGTTGTTAAATAGTGACCTTTCTTTGGAAATATTTTACATTAAGCTTCAATAAAAAAGACAGTAAATCATCATCACATACAAGGTCCTTTATTAGGAGATCTACTTAGAAGTTAAAAAAGAATTTACTCAATAGCATGCAGACGCCTGAATCTGTATCTATACTGACCAAGAGAAATATATTGAAAGCGTCTGATTATTATTACTTCAATGCATGCAGTGATTTGCCTGATAGCGAGCTCTGTAGGAGCACATTTGTCTCGGAGCACATTTGTCACGGAGCACATTTGTCTTACGTAAGACCGATGCGGTCGCATTTTTCACACATGAGACAAATGGGACCTCAAATGTCTACCCAAAAAAAACTCATTTGTGTGACAAATGTGCTCCGATCAAGTTTTCTAAGGGACAAGAAAGCACATTTGTCTGATGTGTTTTTAAGGGACAAGAAAGCACATTTGTCTCATGTCATTTTTTATGAATTATTTGTCACATTATTCCCACGGCAGAAATTCTTTTTTTAGAATCGAGGTTCGCCGTTTTACCTCATGTCAATGTATTGTAATCATCAATAGGTTTGCTTATGCTTTCTTTATGAAAACCTACAGTGAACTAGTATTAATCATAATATTTCTAATTCAAGTAATTGATTGGCATAACCTGAAAGCGTACACTGAACAAACTAAATCCCGTTCACGATGGTACAATGGTGACAGCGCGGTGACACGATGTTACGGTGATGAAAATGCGATGGTGCAATGGTGAAAACATAATGGTACGAACGTGAAACAACGACTGTACGATTGTGAAACAACGATTGTACGATGGTGAAACAACGAAGGTTCGATGATAAAAACGTGATGATACTATGGTGAAAGACGATGTTACGATGGTGAAAATACGATGGTACGATATGATGAAACTGCGATGGCATAATGATGAACACGCGATATTATTTTCTCTATCGTGTCATCGCATCATCGTGATTTCACCATCGTGTTTTAATTATCGTACCATCTCAATTTCACCTTACCATTGCGCATAGCTGTTCAGGGAGTCAAAATGTAACTTTTGTCCAAACGGAACACCGTAATCGGTTGATATTGAATGATACAATATCGTGACTCGTTACGCATCTTGCCGAAATCTCTCATCTCGTTTCGCATCTAGTTTGTCGACGCGAGACAGGAAATTGATTCCAGGTCATATACCGCTAAGTAGTATTTAAAGGCCTATTATGCCTGAGAAATGCTTTTATTTGTATTCCTTAAAAGCTTTGTATTTTTGGTATACTTTTAAAGCTCCAAAAAGTTACTCATTGGCTAATTACCTAAAGCATTTTTCATCTGCTACTTTTTTTTAATTTGTACAGTTGAAGTGATTTAGAATTTTGTATTGAAGTCAAAATACTACATTTTTTATGACGCATTATTTCACATTTATCGCGAATTTCTTTAGATTACAAGCATCTAACTTCCTCAGAAATCATTATTTGAATATTAATAAATTCATTCTTGCTTTATCTAAAGAAGTAAAAATTTATTCATTTCTGAAATCTCGTGGTACTGGATAATTCGACATTGCGAGATCTCGTGTTACAATATCGTGCCTTGCTTCGTGTCTCATCGGAATGTCGCGTCTCGCACGATTCTGAGTCGTCCGATATTCCATAATTATGGCATTACCCGGATTATTTTAGGAACTCATACATGTTGTAAGTACTTTTTCAATGGCGGATCTGAAAGTCGCAATTCTTGGAAAATGACGATTTTTACACACATATATTTCTGATGAAAACAAAATACGTGTGTAATGGTCTTCTTATTTTCTTCCATAGATCAATTAAGGGCGTCCGTGGCCGATTGATTAAAACACCCCACTTGTTCCTAACCGCTGTAGGTTCGACATATACACGGGGCATCGAACTATTCATCGAACTTTGCGAGGATCCCAGCCAGTGTCCAAATGCGGAATACATATCCGGTTGCGCACGTCATAGCTATCGCGTGTGCACGTAATAGTATCGCGTTGCCACGTAAAAGCTATCGTGTGCGCACGTAATAAATAAGAAAATTGTATGTCCCCTTTATGCCACCGTAGATACTACCTTGTTTTTGCTAAGAATATTTCTAGTTCCATAAATCATTTTTAAAACTTTAAGCATTGAAAATAAACGTATCACAATTGATAACGATAACAATAGACTTGGTGCATATGTGTTTAGGTTCTGGATGCTACACTTATAGAATTTTTTATTGTGACATGCAGAACATGGATATTCTTTAATTTAATATATGACTCCAATGCAGAGGCAGGAAGTTTTTGACTGACCGGAAGTGACCTAAAAACGGTTCTATAAACACAGAAAACACTGAACAATGGCTGGTTGCCGGTAAACGGACGGGCATAATTATTACCTTTTAAGAATTTTATAGAAAAATGTGAGATAAATGTGCTTCGAGTGTCCTTTCTATTGTGTGCCGAACACATCTGTCTCATTTCCAATTTGCCGCAAATTTGAATGTTTACAAACACATCGGTCACACTTCGTGAGACAAATGTGCTCCGAGACAAATGTGCTCCTACAATGCTTCTTTGTGCAACTTCAGGTTCTATCGTTATGCACGCAAACATGGAATAAACTTACCCGTTTGAGGTGTACAGATTATATGTGGTTCGAAAATCAGAATATCCGGACAGTACGACATCGTAAATTTGAATTGCTACGGGAAATTCTCCTGCAGCAAACCCAGTAGGTACAGTGTATGTTACTCGGAGTCTGACTGTATCGCCTAGATCGGTTGTAGTAAGTGCTGTGCCTGTGCCATCGACAAGACTTGCTGCAATAGTGTCCGTAACTACCGCTGCAGTTACTGCCGTCAGTATATTCCTATTAGATATATATATGTATATATATTAAGACTGGCTTAAATGTCAACTGGGCTGTATGTTATATTACATTATTATCATTGTTATTTATAACTTGTCATTTCTGACGTCTATTTGTTTATTTTCGTAACTTTGATAAATATATTTTTCATTAATATCAATATGTTAAGACGTGCGATGAGGTATTTGCATGCACTTTAACAAAGTAATAAAGTTTTGCAAAATAGTAAATATGGAAAACTCACGGAAAGTTTCACCATAATTCAAATCTAAAATTAAGCTTCAAGTTGAAACGGAAATTCTATAATACCATGCCACTATGGCTAGTAAGGTAAAAGTTATGTTTTGTGCCGCTGTGCCACACTTCAAAATCCGTAACACATGCAAGATCTAGACAATAAACTAGAATTATCAGACAGGCAAGATCTAGACAATAGACTGGAATTATCAGACACGCAAGATCTAGACAATAAACTAGAATTATCAGACACGCAAGATCTAGACAATAAACTAGAATTATCAGACACGCAAGATCTAGACAATAAACTATAATTATCAGACACGCAAGATCTAGATAATAGACTGGAATTATCAGACACGCAAGATCTAGGCAATAGACTAGAATTATCAGACATTCAAGATCTAGGCAGTAGACTATAATTATCAGACATTCAAGATCTAGGCAGCAGACTAGAATTATCAGATATTCAAGATCTAGGCAGTAGACTAGAATTATCAGACATTCAAGATCTAGGCAGTAGACTAGAATTATCAGACATTCAAGATCTAGGCAGTAGACTAGAATTATCAGACATTCAAGATCTAGGCAGTAGACTAGAATTATCAGACATTCAAGATCTAGACAATAGACTGGAATTATCAGACACGCAAGATCTAGACAATAGACTGGAATTATCAGACACGCAAGATCTAGACAATAGACTGGAATTATCAGGCACGCAAGATCTAGACAATAGACTGGAATTATCAGGCACGCAAGATCTAGACAATAGACTGGAATTATCAGACACGCAAGATCTAGACAATAGACTGGAATTATCAGACACGCAAGATCTAGACAATAGACTGGAATTATCAGACACGCAAGATCTAGACAATAGACTGAAATTATCAGACACGCAAGATCTAGACAATAGACTGGAATTATCAGACACGCAAGATCTAGACAATAGACTGGAATGATAAGACATAATGCATCTAGACAATAAACTTTAATTACAAATGTATCGGATGTTCAAGAAAAAGACAATAGTCTAACATTATCAAAGATGCAAGATCTAAACAATAAACCGGAATTATCATGCACGCAAGATCTAGACAGTAGACTTAGAATTATCAGAGATGTTTGATCTAGACAATAGACAGGCATTATCAGACATTCTTGATTTGGACAATAGATTGGAATTATAGGACATTCAAAATTTAGACAAAACATTGGACATATGAGTCATGCAATATCTAGACAATAGCCTGAATTTATCAGGTATGCAAGATCTAGACAATTAACTTGAATTCAGTCAACCAGCCACACAAAATGTTTAAAGAACTGTCCAAACAGGTACGTTAAATATAGTTTATTGTGCATCCATACCGCTAGTTACTTGCATAGCGGATAAACCTATGCCATTGTACCGAATAAAAAACATTAATGATCAAGTCATTTATAATTTAAAGTTAGTATTCAACAATTAAAAAAGGTAAAATTATTCATTTTTATTTTTACAAAGTACCAAGTTACCTATGTCATCAGTACCGACCTGCATTTTCTATCATGTGCAAAATAGAAGTTTTGTAAAATTGCTATCAGTAAAACTATGACGTTGCCAAAACCATTCTAAAACAATTTTGTTGAAAATGTTTCATATATAAATGAAAAATATATAAATAACGCATGGGTTTGTGGGGAATATTATCCCGAGACAGACACTGTTACACGAGGCGTTAGCCGAGGGCAACAGTATTTTTACGAGCTGTTACTCACAAACCCATGTTAATTTATTTTATAACCCTGAACAAATACTGTGATGATCTGAAATTGTCAACTAAATCTTACTGTAACAAAATTGATCTGTTGGCCTTTTTTTCATTTTCGGGAAAAGAGCACATGACCGGGTTTTTTTATACTGTAAATTATTTTCCCCTTTATACCTGTAACAATCCCAAATTTTTTTTGTCCCCAGGGGTTACACTTGAAAAATTAACAGTATGAATAACTCCCAGGGGCCCAAAATTAAAAATTAAAACATTATACAAAAAAGTGGATAATGATAGGGAAATAAAATATTTTACCCCACTGGTTACACCCCCCTGTAAACCTCTGCCTGTGAGTTTGGAAAAATCGTTGAACCCTTACCCGTAAAAATTTACGTGGGTCTATTTGGGAATCATAGTTTGTTGATTGTTTAGTAAAAAAACTTTTAGGGTTTTTACGTTTAGCGGGAGTTTTGGGCCTTGAAATTTTTTCCCAAAAAAACCTTTTCGAAGGTTTTTTATTTTACATTAATTATAGTAATGTAAATTTCAAAAGGATGTTTTTATCAAGCACAGACATCATTATCACAACAAGCACAAAGATCATTGTATTCTTGTAATTCTTTATTAGATGTTGTATCTTTTAATATTTCTGAAAAGATTAAAATCTTTGATTCGATGGTTGACTCTATTTTGAATTATGGTTGTGAAGTGTGGGGTTTTCACATAGCACCAGATATGGAAAAGGTACATCTGAAATTTTAAAGCACACTTTACAGGTTCGACGAAAAACATCAAATGTTACATTATTATATGGTGAATTTGGAAGACTTCCACTATATTTTATGCGTAAGATAAGAATGATTGAATATTGGTTTAAGATAATGTCAAACACAGATTCTCTTATGTATAAATTATTTATGAAGCATGATTTTAATGGTAATCCAGTAAATAAATGGATACAAAAACAAGTTTTTCCTACCTATGGAATAATACATCTGTCACAAATTTACAGCTACAATGTGTTATTAGATCAATTTATCAGTTTAATCCTGAACTGTCTTTTACTGCATTGTACTCAGAACTAATCTAAATGAATTTTATATGACTAATGTTATGTATTGCCGAATAAATTTAAAAAAATGCATTTTTTAAATCTACATTTTAACCTTTTTTTAAAAAAAAAAAACATACATTTTTTCAGTTTAAAATTATACCCTTTATTTTAGTTGTGTTTTTGGGTTTAACTTTGTACGGGTTTATGCCAAAAAAATTTACTGGGTATATTGCAATACCACTCACATAATATTAGAAAATCTAGTAGAAAATATGACTATTTAAATGGTTTATCCGTATAAAACTACTTTCTTTTCCTCTCAAAATTTTACAAAAATGTAGTTTTGTATACATACTGCCGTGACGAAACAGTCTGAAGTCCCTATTGTCGGCACTGTCTGCATCCCTGTACTCAGCAATACCGTGATGCTTAGTTCATGCGCAGTTGAACCACCGGAAGTGACGAGAGTAGATACACATTTATCTGTAGCACCATTTGTACCATGTATACCTTCAATCTGATTTATTGTACCGCCGCCAACTGCTCTAAATGTTGCCGTCAAACTAAGTCCGTCATCACTCTTCACACAGTCAAGGGAGACTTAAACATACATACATAAAACTAGACAACCCTTTACAGTAAAATGAATTTGAATTACGTTATATTGTAAACGATTCGTTTAATTCAGTGAAGGAAGAATTAGTACAAGTAGCGAATTTTTTTGATCAACTTATTGTCATAAATAAGATAAGAATTGGATCATCTTTACATTTGTGGGGCAAAATATAATTATCTATTTTACAAATGACATACCCTACAAAGTAATATAACATAAAATTTATTCTAAGTTTTCAACACTTGACCATTTTTAAGATAAAACATTTACTTACGCGCTTTAGCTTGTCTCTGAAATAAAGTAATTTATATAGTTAAGAAATTAAATAAGAAAAATCTAGACAGGCAAAATGTCAGGCATTATGTTTTAAAGGGAAACCACTGTGGTTTTTATACAAGAAGAGACGGAAACAATGTTTTCAAGGCATTTTGTATCACTGGATAATAGGTCATGTACAAATATCAGATCATTCCCAGGACCAATCAATGTGATAGTGCATATCTAACCAAAAATGAAAAGCGTTGCAATGCTGTTCACTCAAATCGGCAAAAATCGCATGCCAATTTAATCGGTTATCAATTTTATACCGAGTATGCAGGCAAGGTTTATAATATGCAAATGGTTTCAACGTAAAATTTTAACATGAACAGAATTACAAATAAAGTCATACATAATTATGTAACATAAAATATTTCTATAACGCCTTCATGTCAAATAAACAAAGTTAGATTCAGGATGCTAAGATCTATACTGGTTGGGGACCACCAAAATCGGACAACCACCAAACCCGGACGGCCCCGAAAATGCTTAAGTTAGTATTTTCTTTGTTCAGTGGTTGTCAGTCACTTTTTTATCAACAATAAGTGCATGTTTCTTTTAAAATTAGGTAAATAAATTTATTTCAACCTCCGTAAATGGTAATATTTTAATGTCTCTTTCAAGAATGTTGACGTTGTAATTCGGGGGGTCAAGAAAGCAATGCCTGACCTCATGTACCAGCTATAATCATTTACAAAGTGAATAATAGAATATCCAAAACTTCAGCATTTGTTGCTGACATATTGTATATCATGTTACAAATCAAAAATCAAAACACCAAGCTTTTATCTGAATTAAATCACATCATGTACATATCTGTCCGGACACATGGTACTGTAGTGTAGACAATTTAGGTAATTTTGATACCCTCCTTGTCGAGCCTCAGATATAAGTGTCAATACAATTAAAAATAAACAAACTAGTTTGTTAGTTAGGAGAAGAACCTAGCTGAACTGTGTCAAATTTTTTGGTCTCTAGGTTAAAAATTATGAACTCTGGACGTAAAAATGTTCCAAAAGTGTCCGGTTGATGGTCTCCGACCAGTACAAAGTTATTACTAGCATAAACATTCGAATAATTTAGGACGACAACGGACAATGAGAACTAATATCTTAATTTTAGAATAATGCTTTAACAAAATAATGATAACTTAAGTATTGAGACTATATCATTTTCACCTATTATCACATTAAACAATTGTATCTATATTATTATCCTGTACAAATTTATGATGCAATCGCAACCTAACAGTAAATTTGAAAATTTTATATCATCTACTTTCTGCTGATGCATACATTCTGACATACCAACAGTACCAAGATCATTTTTATTTTTCAAATGTATCAACAAAATTTCTAGAGTTCAATAAGAACATTGTTTGATATAACTTGTTTCATATTTTATAATCCTCTTTCAATAATAATTCTACTCCAGAAGCACAAAACTCGTGTTTTTACGTTCACCATAAGTCATTCAATTAGTTGTATAGGACTTTAAATTCAAAATGATTTACAAAAATACATTCAAGATTATTCACTTTTTTATTTTTCTGTAATTTTATAATTTCACAATTGTGACATTTGTTCGAAATTGAGAACATACATGTATGTTCAGTTTTTGAAAATCCTTCTATATTCAGTTATTGACAGAAGCAGAGATAATGTACATATGTGTACGCATATAGCTAGATAAATCTTATGTTGTTTATGATGAAATAGTTTATGATGAAATAGTTTATGATGAAATAGTTTATGATGAAATTGTTTGTAAAAAGGATGATAAATGAATCAATGATACATTCCTTTGAAAGGTAACAGATGATCATGCTAAACAAAAACTAAAAATCAATGAGTATAAATCATGTTACGTTAACAACATTGTCGCATGAAATTTAACATATTTAAAATATAAAAAACCTGTCACTAGAGATAGAATATGCTTGTATGTAAATTTTATACCTAGTTTGTAAATTGTTTTCTATCTTCTATTTAATAAAAAACACTTACCGCTATCGAGACAAATACAAGTATACTTATGGACAACTTCATCGTGGCTGAAAACAAAAAGAAAATGTCACAATTAAATTCTCAAATTTCGTCTGAATGAAATGATGTGAATTGTAAATTTCCCTAACATGGCTAAGTATAAATTTTATATAACAATAAGTAATCATCATTTATTTATATATAGACATTTCAATGACTAGCCGAAAACAATGTATGTGATTTGTGGAAAAAAAAATTTTTCAAAACGTTATAACGAAGTTAAACAGATAATGATTTTCGGCCACAATCGTAGCTTTTAGCAATAAAAACTTTAACAGATGCTATCAAACTTTAGGAGAAACATTTGTTTGGTGGGTTATCAATTCAGTTCCAAAATAAAATTATTAATAAAACATCTGTAAGACTAAATTTGGTGTTTCTATATTCAATAAAGCTGCCTTTTCTTTTGAAAAAAAAAGAGATTATATTTTGAATTTGAACTTTCTATATTCAATACACATGGCTTCTTCTTTTAAATAAATAAATTATAATTTGAATATTCATAAGCTGGTGTGAATAAAGATACAGTATAATGACTAGGTTTGAATGTGATACTTATAATACGTTATTCTTTTACAATATGTCTTAAATACAAGTAAATCATCAGTATGAATATTATATCGCATAGTGCTAATATAATATTTGTTATTTATCAATAAGAAATATCTAACAAAAGACTTACCTATGAATAGTTCAATCTAATAAATACCGATAATTTAATATGAATTAATTTTATCCAAGAATATACACAAACAAATGTATTTCTGTATCGTTTTAATAAAATTACAATTTTAAATTACAATAAACAAAAACCAGTAAATAAATGTAATTTTAATGTAAATACCTTGTGTATATACGCCGTCTGGTACTTTACAAGTAAGCGATATTCAATAAAGTATGTGACAAGATATTACAACTAGGATCCTCTCTGATGGGCGCACTTAAACAAATGCGGTGCAATGAGCTATATACAACTGGTTCCAGTCGGATGCGAACGCCATGGTTTCACTGTTTTGTTATGCTGTCAGGCAATTTAAATGATATGTATGATGCTATTTTTTCACTTACTTTTTATTGTATTATTGAACTTCGATTTATCTGTCTGCAGGGATACCAATTATCTTAAATCATGGTGAACTTAATGTGATCAAAGCTGATAGAGGTTTTTATCTAACGAGTGTCACATCAAATTGTTTTTTTCTCTCATTGTAGTCAACTTGAACATCAGCATTTATTAAAAAAAAGTCAATTATGTTAACGATTTCTTACATTTTTTGACAAAATGAAGTTGTAGTTAAGCATGTATGAAAGAAAGAAAAATGGAAAGAAAGTAAACAGATATGAACTATTTCTTTGTTAACCACAATCTTTTTATTTACTGAATCTTTTTCTACAAGCATGATTATAAATAAAAATTTATGATAAGAAATTAAAGAATTCGTTCAGTTTACGATAAACAGACCTAATTTACGTCAAATGAAAAAAATGTACACATTCTTACTGTGAGGTAAATATTTGAGTCAATACAATATGTACATGACTGATTGATTCGAAGCTATAAGGGAACAGATGGTCCATTTATAAATAACAATTAACAAAGTAATCCAAGTTAGTGTAAATAGGTGACATATTTTATATATACAATTGTATACAGCATTTATTTAACTCCAATTGATTTGAAAGCAGCTAAAGACCATACCCTTATTTTGCCTTAAAATGTATTTTTATACTGCTGCAAGCGACCCGCTACAATTGTTTAGAATCACTAAAATATTAAGGAATCATGGCTTTTTTCTACATTTTTAACATTTTATCTGCTCTAAAAATGTTTCTATTCAAAAGTATGTCAATATTTTTTCTTTGTGGTATCACAGTTTTTTCTTAGTTGATTCAATGCACTGATAAGTTGTTAAAATGGATTTATAAATTGTTAAAGTTGCGAGTATTCGAATATGTTTTTCTATTGAGAAGCCTTCATGTGTAGACTTCTTATGAAGGAAATCATTTGTCATAGAGTTGCCAACTCAAAGCAAATAACATAATTTTATTATATACATGTACTTATAAATGAAATATTGAAAAATATTGACGAAACAAAAAGCGTAGTTTCATTTTCCGTGTTTTCACTGTAAAAAAATTCACTGCAGTGAAGCATATTTTCCATATTTTCACTGGTGTCTTGTCGGACTACTTTCTTCCAAATTCAGCCAATACACATAATTTAAGAGGACTGTAATATAAAAAAATAAACAGAAAATTCGTTTTTTTTCTATAAATACAGGATTAATTTTCATCTTGTGGTATGAAAATAGCTAGGTAGAAACTACCTACAAGCTTCCTCACATATGATAATTCTATGTGTAATAAAAAACACAGAGACAGACATTAGTTAACTGGAGTGCGGGTATTAGTTACCCGCACTCCAGAGCATGCCCATTGATTGGTTCATTTTTGCTGGGGTTTACATATTGTGACGGCAGATAAATGGAAAGCGACAGAAATGTCATATTCAGATGTTCGTTCATTGGTTCATTTTTGCCGGGGTTCCATATTGTGACAACAGGGAACGTGCTTTTATGTTTGACTATGATACACTGTGCATGTATATGTATACGATTTAACCCTGACACATTTTCAACAGAAAGGTCTCCAAACTATGATACAATAAAAAGAAAGAAAGATGAATTAATACACAGAAAATATCAGACCAACTATATCATTATCACTACCGTCCATTGCGCCGGTGTCAGTAAAACATATTTGATAAACTCACAACGACGGCATGCGATTCCCATTTTTTATAGAAAAGGCTGAATAAATCTTTGATAGCTATCAACAATTCTATAGTCAATCTTATTTTTTTCAACATTCATTTATTTATACATCACTATACTTGCATTAGTCGTTTTTTACGGTGTAGTATCAATTATTGTGTGTGAACTGAAGCCTGATAAACGTTTCAACTAACATAGAATTTTAATTTAGTAGTACCTGTTGACGCTTTGTAATTTGTATTCATCTGCAATAAACAATTGCATGTCATCAGTGCATTTTCGAGAGAATCAATGATAATGTGACATCCCAGGTTTATCAAAGAGATCTTCTATAATTATACAATGTTACTATAACACAATAAATAGTCATTGTTGTTTTATTTTTTGTTGCTGTTTATATAAACAAAGTGAGGCTCACACATTTAATAAGATTATTCCATTTGCAAACGCAAGACAATTATTCAAATGTTTACCTGCGTTTGAAGTAAGACTATATTAGACTTTTAATGAAAAGTTTATGTTCGTTTTCATAAAGGACTATTTTTGTATTTCACAAATTGCCTTATCGCACAACAAGTCTTAAATTATACCTGTAATTTTCATTAATATATGCATCTTTATGTTTCCTTACTGGTAAATAAACTTAGAAAATAGCCATTTATACTAAATCGTTGTTCCTTGTATTTCTTGTACTGTATGTGTGTATTCTGTTCTGTAATGTGATAGATAATTTCAATTTTTAACACCAACTATTGTTCTCAATCATCAAATTAATAAATATAATGATTACACAGCTGTCTGTTTAAGCTGTTTAAGGAAACATGAAAGCATATTTAAAAATACTTATCAGAAGAGTATTTACACTGTAGATTGTACAACAGTGACGACTAGCCATTGACAAATAACGTTACAAACATGCAGTGCTATGTTTTTTTGTTTTATCTTCACGTGATTATCATTCAAAGCATATACACCAATACACTGTACTTGTAATAAGGTTCACGAAATTGTCAATAAAATCATTAATTGATGTACATGCATATCCATTAACAGACAGCTAAAATACCTTAGTGTCCAGCTTTATTTGTCATCCAATGAAAACGCTGTATTTCTTAAAAATTATGTGTGTTAAATTTCATAGAAGAAAAAAAGCCGATACTATATTGAAATCCGTTCATAGTCGCCTTCTATTTTTCATAGTGTTTCATAGTACCGCGTAGTGACGTAATCAAGGGACACTAAATATGTTAGTGTTCATCCTTAGCTGTTCTACAGAAATTAGAAACATTCTCCTGTCGCTATCGCTCCCGTCGAAGTTTCTAATTTCTGTAGAACAGCACGGATGAACACTAACATATACATAATATATATTTTATCCTTGATATTCTGTTATAATGAAACTTACAATATGACTGGTATCTTCTTCTTCTTCCAATACTGTACATAACCCACTCTGGAGCATTGACGTACAGGGTGTATGTACAAAGTGTTGTGCGGCGAATAAGTGCAGATTTAAAAGAAGAACATGTTAAAAATAAAATCAACTCCGGCATATTAGGGCCCCATGACTAGTCCTCCCTTGAAGGCCTCAAGGTTGACTGCTGTGGCTAGGTGCTCTGGAAGCTGGTTCCACAGGCGGATGGCCGAAGGTACAAAGGAGAACTTCATGGTGTCTGTTCTGCAGAATGGGACATGGAATCTGTGTCCATAGCCATGGCCACCAAGTGTCAGGGGGTGGAAGTACTGTGCAGCTGGGATGGCTATGAGGTTGTGCGTGATCCTGTAGACCATCACTAGCTTGGCATTGGAGCGGCGATGCTGTAGAGTTGGCCAGCCTAGGTCTGTCATCATTGCAGTGGTGCTGCTGGTAGTTTTGTAGTCGCCTTTTACAAATCGGGCAGCTCGCCTTTGGACAGCTTCAAGCTGGTTGATGTTGGTGGCTGTGTGTGGGTCCCAGACTGTGCCTGCGTACTCCAGGATTGGTCTAACAAGGGTCTTGTAGGCCTGGGCCTTGATGTCTTGTGGGCAGCTTGAGATGTTTCTTCTGAGGAATGATAGTGAGTTGTTGGCCTTTTTGATGGTAGATTCTGTATGTATGTTCCATGAAAGATTATTAGCGATGTTGACACCAAGGTACTTTCCACTTTTGACAGATTGAAGAGTTAATTGATGGACCTTGTAAGCATAAATGATGGGGCTTCTTTTCTTGGTGATGTGTATGACTTCACATTTGCTGGGATTGAAAGACATCATCCACTTGCGTTCCCATTCCTGGAGTCTATCTAGGTCTTCTTGGAGGGCTAATGCGTCAGCTTCTGATTTGATTTTCCTGTAGATCAGGCTGTCGTAAGCAAATAGGCGGCTGATTGAAGTCACGCACTTTGGTAGGTCATTGATGTAAAGGAGGAACAGTAAAGGACCTAGTACTGTCCCCTGGGGTACACCGGATGTAACTGGGGAGGATGCAGATGAATGGCCTTCAACGACAACTTGTTGGCTGCGGCCAGACAGGAAGCTCTCAATCCAGCTTCTGACTGTCCCTCTGATGCCGTAGTGATCTACCTTGGAGAGGAGTCGTTGGTGAGGCACAACATCGAACGCCTTACTGATGTCTAGTAGTATGGCGTCTACTTGTTCCCCTTGATCCAGGGCTGATGACAGGTCTTGAAGAGTAAGAAGAAGCTGACTTTCAGTTGAGCGTTGTTTTCTAAATCCATGTTGTTGATCTGAAAGGATGTTTTGATGGTCAAGGTGTTTCATAATTTGGCTATGTAGGATGTGTTCTAGGAGTTTGCTGCATACTGATGTGAGAGAAATGGGTCTGTTGTTGGCAGGGTTGCTACGGTCACCTTTTTTGAAGATAGGTGATACATTTGCCTTCTTCCAGACTGAATGTACTGTTCCTTGTTGTAAAGAGGCGTTGAACAAGAGGGTGAGAGCCGGAGTAATATATATATGGTATATATGAGACAGCAGTTTTAAAAGTTTTGATAAAAACATATATAACATGTACACGGATGTCGTGTTTTAACCTAATGATTTAATAAAGATACGGCATTCAGTTATATATATTTGTATTGTTTTCATAAGTAGTTTGTAGATTAGGTTTTATTTTGCTAAAGAAAGCAAATATATTAAAATGATATCCAATATCATTACATGCCCCAAGAAACAAATTAATCATATTGTGTTTCCTGTCATATAAATATTGCGGCTACAAGATTAGTATAAGATAACATTAG